AATTGATCGATTAAATTTCAATTTATATATTTATATAAATATTAAGTATTGGGGTTATTCTAATTGTTAATTGGTAGTTTTGGTTTTTGTTTTAATTTGAATCATTCAAATTTTAAAATTTAAAATTTTTTTCTCCATCAATCTAGAAGGAAAAATATCAATCAAAGACTAATGGAGTATATTTACATCAGTCAAGGATCAATAGATTTTAAAACTTCATTATAATCCATTGATTCTTGGTTGATATTAATTTTTATGTGAAATGATTAAATTACCTGTAAAATATAAAATAATGACAAGTCAACCCCGCTATTACCAACATTGGCTATCGGATCGTCGCTGAAGACCTAGTTATCGGCGAGGTTACTAGCATTTGGTCACCGAGCTCCCAATTTATAATTAATTATGTCAAATTAACAACAACAATTAATTGGGGATTTTAAAATTTTACGCATTTTATGGTTAATAACAGGACATTCAAACTTTAATAAGTAAAATGTATAAAATTTTAAAGTTCTCAATTTATAATTAATTATGTTAAATTAATTAATTTTAACAATAAATCATTATGTTATAACATTGAAATAGTTTAGAAATTTGGATTGTTATATATATATATATATATATTTATCATATTTAATTAAATGGTCTTAATGGTGTAATGGCTACTAAATTTGTTAGTATGGTTGCCGTGGAAGTGACTTTTTTATTATTTTATATTTTAAAAATGATTTAATTATTTTATATAAAAATTAATATCAGTGCATGACTAAAAATTTATAGTAAAATTTTAAAATTTATTAATTATTAATTGATATAGATATGCTTCAATTGTCCTTGATTGACATTTTTTTCTATTATTAAAACGAATCTTGTATTTGGGTCAAACAGCCTACTGATTAACTCCACAGTGAAACTGGCAATTAATTTTGGTCAAATGTTCCCAGCTGTATTCTTCCTTAGTTCCGCATTCCACAGTTTCGCCCGGCAATTAATTGCTTTTACGTTATCCAAGCGACTATTATGGCGACTCTTTTGAATAATATTTTAAATGAAATATTACATCAAAGGACAAGAATTAACAAGCCAAATAACTTTTAGAGCAATTTTCCCCTCAAGAATCATCATTCTTGGCTTTGAAATGATTATTCGCACCTTTTAATTTTAAAACTGAAAATTAGCAAGTTGCAATAATTTATAATTTCACATGTTCCTTCCATTTAAAAATATAAAATATTTTTAATTAAATTTTACTTTTAATAAAATAATTACTTATTTTTAAATTAACCCTATCATTACTTACTTTTAAATTAATCTTATCTTTTTATATTTATCCCTATTAAATATCCTATAATAAATATAAAATTATTATCAATAGGGACACTTTTGAAAGAAAAATAATGATTATATTTCGAAAGACTAAAAATACTTTACATTTTTAACATTCAACTCTTTAAAAAAATACTTTAATGGAAGGAGTATATTTATTGATTTATAAAATAATTTATCTTCTTAATATTTTCTTTCCTTACTTTTCACCACAATTTTCTCCATTCATTAAATGTAATTGTTGAACATCATCGTTGCCATTAGGGGTGAGAATAAGTTGTCAAAGGCCTATAACTTGATTTGTTTTAAACTTAACCTAATTTACTTATTAAATATGTTCAGGTCAAATTCAAGCTTTTAATTAAGTCTATTGAGCTAAATAGGCTAAGCCTATTTTTTCTAAGGTCTAACTTACAAATCCAATAAATCGACATATATATATATATATATATATATATTATGTAATATATCACAAATACAATCAATATATTCCTTTTTTTTATTTCTAGTTATATTTCAATTAAATTAGATTTATATATTAATTTTAATGTTGTTATTTTATTGTTATATTGTATTATAGTTTGTAAGTCTTTTTAATTATTATATATTATAATTGATAAATTAAATTATATATTGTATATTATAATAGTCCTAAAGTATATTTAAGACATTTAAAAGTAAAATACAAGCCTATTTAAAAGGCTTACTTTTAAGTAAACTTTTAAATAAATTTTCAAATCAAGTCAAGCATTAGGTAGGCTCAAGATTAAGCTGTAAAAAAACTCTTATATAAACTTTAGGTCAGGCTTAGGCTTTAAATTTATCACACAAGTTCATGTCTATTTGGTTAAAGTTTGGTTCAAGTTAATCTATTTTCACTTTTAATTGCCATTAAATCAAATACATTATTTATTCACTTACAGTTACAAAGATGATCTTATTTTTAAAAACAATCAACAAATAATAATAAATGTATAGCCATTAATGATACCATAAGTCATAGAAATTGTGTTTGCATGAAAAGCGGTATTCGAGATTATGAATGACAAGTCTTCATAAATATTGGCTCGTGATATGAGCTTCCAGATCTAATCCAACGCACGATCCTGAAAAGTTTGTTAGTTTTGTAGAAAAGTCGGCATATTTATTACACAACACTAAAGTCGGTGTATTTAAAATCTTCTAATCCATCGCAAGGTTTGAGTAATGATAATAAAAAACGGAGACTTTTCTACATTTATCCAAAGAAAAGTCTTTACCTATATTGATTCATAATTCATTATAGGTAGATAAAAAATTAAATTTTAATTTTCACATTCTTTTAGTAATTAATAGTAACTATTTATTATTTTTAAACTTTAGCTTTTAATTTTTAAATACAAAATATATTTTAAAAATTATTAATTTAATTTTCTCTTTTGCTTAATTTTTTTGGTTTCATTCTACGCACGTTGCAAACCGCCCTAATTATCATTATCATTAGTTATTCTAAAATATCTGCTTTTGTCGTTTTCCCATTTTATTATTTAATTTACTTCTGGCATAGACTTGTCCATCGCCGCTCTCATTTGTCCAACTTGCCAACTTGTTTCTGTCCTATCAGAAATTTTTACGTTGATGATCATGGCAACCCCACATGGGGGACTTGGTTTTTCTTCACTACCTCTCCTCTCCACTTCTTCTCCACTTCTCATCTCGATTATTAAATTTTTTTTTAAACAGTTAAAATTTAATATTTTATAAAATTATTATTAAAATATAAAATTTTATAAAAAAATAAATATAATAATAATTTTATGAAATATCAAATCTCAACCGTTCAAAAATGAATCCAACAATTGAGATGAAAAATGAAGAGAAAATGAGGAGGAGAAGAAGTGAAGGAAAGCTGGGTCTCACATGGGGTGGGGGTGTCTCCACTTCGGGATGGGAGTGTTCCCACTATTCTCCCTCTCTATTCCCCTTTCATTTTTTTAAATAATATAAATTAAATTATTAAAAAATACGGAAAATAATTAAACTTTTTTTTAAAAAACACCCTCAATTTGTCAGACCCGGCTTTTCTCCCCACAAATGATTGAGACTAAATATTTTTTTATTTATTTAAAATTTAATAAAATAAAAAATATAAATCTTTTCATTAAAACTGAGTAGTAATATAAACAGTTTTATTTAACATGAATAACTCAAATTTAACATTAATTTTTTTATAGTTTTAATATTCAACTTCCATTGTATAAATTATATGTAGATAGTCAATTTATAAAAATTTAAAAAAATAAAAAATTTAATCATCTTTGGATAATTTAGATTTAATATTAATGGTCTAAATTTAATAATAAATTTTTTTACAATTTTAATATTGAACTTCCACTCTCCAGATATAATCTGTAAAATTAGTTGTAAAAATTAATATGAATTATTAAATCTAATAACCACAATCTAAATTTAATATCAATAGTCCAAATTTAATGTTAAAAATTTTAATATTAAATTTGTAATGTTCCAAGTATATCTTGATGGTCAATTTATAAAAAAATTTGGTTTTAAGTTTGAACCTCTTATATTAGCTCTGCACTACCCAAATTAATAATAAAATATATTGTTAATATTTTTATAATTTTTTAATAAAAATAAAAAAATAATTTAAATCATGTGCAGGATGATGTTATTTTTTTATTTTCTTATTTTTTTAATAATTTAAATTGTTTTATTTTAAGAAAATGGAAGGAAAATAGAGGGGGGGAGTGGAGACACTCCCGTCACCACATCATTCATTCTTTATCATGTGCTTGTTTATTTTTATCTATAAATAATATTACAAATTTTAAGATGCATTTATCATATTTTTATAAAGTTATTGTTTATTTTGACTAAACTGTTTCATTAATTTGTAGGGATAATTTAGTCCAAATTTCAAACATAAATATGATACTTGATCAAATTTTTTAAAGTATTTGAATTGATTATTTTCTCCTATATTTAAAAATAAAGAGAGTATGTCATATAGCTGTAATTATAAATTAATTTAGTTATTAATGATGATAAAAATGGACAAAAAATTAAAAAGATATTTTATTTCAAAACTAAAGTCATTAAAAATAATAACATATAAGATTTTATTTGATTAGACTGATATAATTTTATTGTATAGAGTATAAATGACTTGATGCACTAAATCCGTACAAGAATTTCTACTTGTATACTTACATATCCTCTTATGCTCTCTCTCTACACATCTTTAGGGTCTGTTTGGTTCGAGAGGAGAGGAGGAGAGGTGAGGAGAGGAGGGAAGGGAGGGGGAGCCCCTCCCCTTCCCTCCCCCTCAATTAAACAGGACCTTAGTGTGTATATACTTTCTTTAGTTCTATTTGCAAAACACATTTTAAAAATAATTTTTAATTGAGAATGTAGGACACTTGTAATAATTAAATTCTTTTTTTAATTTTAGTTTTTTTATTAGTGTAAATATATTTAATGTAGTTTTATTATGATTTAAATTTAAGAATAAAAATTAAAGTACATCTTGTTTTTTATAATATTAAGAACAATTAATTTTTTTAAAAAAATGTATGAAATGGTTGAAAACGTTTTATAATGAGAATTAGGGAGAGCATATATACTCAAATATATATAACCACGCCATGAATAAATCCACCTTGTGTTAACAAGAAGGAGCAAAGCCAAAGATTGGATCGACCTTTATATTATTACCATATGGCTTTTCATTTTCTCATCCTTCTGTTATTCATTCTCTTTCCCTTCAACGTCTTAGCCCAAACCCGAGACACAGTTTCCGCGGGAGATTCTATCTCTGCAGGAGATGGCTACTCAACATGGCTGCTTTCGCCTTCTGGAGATTTTTCATTTGGCTTTCACCCACTTGACGACCACCACAACAATGATCTCTTCCTTCTTTCGATTTGGTACGCTAAAATCCCAGACAAGACCATCGTTTGGTACGCCAATGGAGACAAACCTGCGCCAAAAGGCTCCAAAGTTCAACTTACTTCTGATCGTGGCCTTGTCCTCACTTCACCTAATGGTTATGAGCTATGGAAATCATTTGATGCTATTTCTGGTGTTGCTCTTGCGGCTTTAAATGATACTGGCAATTTATTGCTTCAAGATCATAAGTTTAAGGTTGTCTGGGAGACATTTAAGGATCCCAGAGATACCTTGTTGCCAACCCAGATTCTTTACAAGGGAGGGAAGCTTTTCTCTCGAAGATTTGAGACGAATTTCTCGACCGGAAGGTACTGTTAGAATTTTTTTTTAATTTAAAGCTCATAAAAAATATATATTATTTTTTAAATTTTCTAGTTTTAATTTATGATGAGTAAGAAGAAAGTCATAAATTCACTAATATTAGAACCTATGTTAATAAATATACAGGGTAAAATAAAAATTTCTTTTACAAATACAAAGTTATTGTTTATATTTTGGATCAAGACTAGATGAGAGAAAATATTTATATTTTGGATTGGAAAGAATATTCTGGATTTGCATAAATTAGTTATTGAACCTAAAATAAATTGATCCCTCATAATTTTGTATAGCTTGTGATAGGTGAGCCACACAAATGAAGCTATTAGATAGAAATCTAACCTACAAGCTTTTAGTCGTTAGTAATTTTTTTTTATCTTTTAGCTGATTGAGTTAAGAGGATTCGAGAAAATTAAAGATCATTAATTACTTATATTTATAAACAAGTACAACCCTAGTCTTCATAAGTCAAAAGACAATCTGTCTTCCACACTCTCTTATATTAACTAGATAGTTTTTCATATGTTGCATGGGTTGGATTTAAAGAATTTGAAACAATTATCATGAATAGCATTGATATCGACACATTGGAGATCACTAAATTTTCGGGAGTTTCTCTATTCAATCATTTTTCCTCTTCTTGGATATTTTGTTTGCACAAATTTTCTCTTTGTTTCTCAAGCCTATAGTGAGTTATAGAGAGAGTTTGAAGAGGTCAAATATTTGATGATTTCATCATACATGATTGAGTTGTGAAAACTTTTGGATAAGTATCTTACATTTGAACTAAATTGTTTCTGGTGAAAGAATCTCTTTCTAGTTGCTCTGAAACAATTAGGAGTTTCTCTAAGAAAAATATGGGGTTCTGTTTGTGATGGCAACATGTTATGAGTTGGTGGTCCTGCTTATAGGGTGAAATCAATTACAAAATAAAATTCCATATATGAATAGAATTTTGTCAAAAAATTAATTATATCTCTATGAATATAAGAAGTTGGAAGGCCAAAACATAACAGTTGTAGGTTTTTCCTTTGATCATTCTTTTTTGTTTACTGTTATTGTTCACTCGGAGAGTAAATTAGAGAAAAATTTTTTATCTCAATATTTGTAAAATTAATTAGTTGACAGAAACTAAGGTCCATTAAAGGCTTCTTTGTCAACCACTTGCAAACACACAACTTTTGAGGGAATTAATCTTGAATGGATTTAGTTTTGAAAGAAGCACTACAATGAGACTTTTGGTTGAAAAATCAATTATGGTAGTAGGAGTGGTTGGAGGGATTGAAATAAAAACATATACCAATTCAATATGGAATATTAGGAAAATAGTTTTGTAGGTTCCAATGAGATAATCGAAAATTTAAATATTTAGAATTTAATTTTTCCTAATATTCTAAGTGATTGGGATTTAATTTTTACTATCAAGCATTGAAACTAATATTAAGAAAATGGTTTTGTAGATTCCAATGAAATAATTGAGAATTTAAATATTTAAAATTTAATCTATCCTAATATTCAAAGTGATTGGGATTTGATTTTTACCGTCAAGCAATGAAACTGGTATTAGGAAAATAGTTTTGCAGGTTTCAATAAGATAATTGAAAATTTGAATACTCAAAATTTAATCTCTTTCAATATTCAAAGTGACTGGAATTTAATTTTTATTGTCGAGCATTGAAACTTGTATTTTACATATTTTACACATTTAACCATAAATGTTCATTAATGGAGTCATGGAAGAATGTGTGAATGGAATATGAAATAATTAACCTTAATGAGTTAGTTATAATGATTATCTTTGCAAGAAAGAGGATGAGTAATAATATAAATAAAGACAAATCTAATAGAGTTATAATGGAAATATGATTTTTCAAGTTCTAATTTTTGGTAATTGAATATTATTAGGTGATTTTCATATTCAGATTTTAATGGAAGATTTTAAATTTAAAATGAAAGAAGCAGTATAAAACAGAAATGAGAGGCCGTGATTTTTCCAATTCGTGCAAGTTGAGCAAGAAAAAACTATTAAAACAAAAATCATACCTTGTGTTTACAATTGGGTTCTTATGCTCTTCATCCAATGTAGTGAAATTGATCAATTGTGACCTCCAGTAAGATTTCACAACTTTTCAAATTGATTCTATTATTTTCTAAACTAGTTGAACAAAACTCGCTTGATGATGACAAAACCTGCTAAACAATTTTTAAAATAAAACATATGTGGAAAAGAGAATGTTGATGGGTGAAGAATTGATGATGGTTTTGAAATAAAACATCTGTGCAAAGTGCAAATGAGGCGAACATGAACAACATCATCTCGGACACCTCCTTGAAGATTTTTAAGGGAAGTAAATTGAAAAAACCAAGGGGACCAAATGGAGGATTATTGGAAGAACCATTGGGAATAGGGCATAGCATAAACGAAGCCAAAGAGATGGTTGAAATAAATGTTCCTGTTTGAAATGAGAATTGACTTGAAAATTGATGAAAATAGAGAAGATAGAAGAAATGACACAAGAATAAGTTGAGAAAACTAATTGCATGAGAGAATTAAATTAAGATCAAAGTAAATTAACCAATGAAATTGAATAAGAGTTGACCAATCAAAGTCCTCTTATAAGATTTGTTAATATATATTGATTACTATATACCTTTTAGGGTTGAGGGGGTCTATTAGGTCATGACTGTCTGCTTTCAACATAATCTACATCTTTTATTTTATTTGTGTCTACCTTTTCTTTGCAACAATAGATCTGCAGGTACGCTTCATAAAACTTATCTTTGATTTTTTTGATTATTATTATGATATTTTCAACAGGTACCAGATATTTCTACAGCAAGATGGTAATCTTGTCTTCTATTCAGTGAACTTGCCATCTGGGTATGCAAATGAGAACTACTTTGAAAGTGGCACAGTCGCATCCAAATCATCAAACGCAGGTCGTTTACTCGTGTTCGATTCATCAGGAGACTTGTATGTTTTGAAAGACGACAATCAAAGGTTCAGCCTCTCACCTAGTGGAAAAACTCCATCAAATGACATGTCCACAAGATTCTATCTCCGAGCAACACTTAATTTTGATGGGGTTTTCTCTCTCTATCAATATCCAAAGGATAATAAGAATTCTTCAGATCAGAAACAAAGTTGGATCCCACTTTGGTCCCAACCAGAGAATATATGCACGAGCAGTCTTGTGAGTGCAGGAAGTGGCGTATGTGGGTATAATAGTATCTGTGATTTGAATGATGTACAAAGACCAATTTGCCATTGTCCAAAAGGGTATTCTCTAATAGATCCAAATGATGCGTATGGAAGCTGCAAGCCAGATTTCACACAAGGATGTGAAGAAGATAGGAAGCTACATGACTTTGAAGTTCTGATAAACACTGATTGGCCACTTTCTGATTATGTGCTTCAAAGGCCTTTTACTGAAGAAGAATGCAAACAATCTTGTTTGGAAGATTGTTTCTGTTCAGTGGCAATTTTCAGATTAGGTGATAGCTGTTGGAAGAAGAAGATTCCACTTTCAAATGGAAGAGTTGATGTGAATCTCAATAATTCTAAGGCATTTATCAAAGTGAAGACGAAGAATTAATATATTATATTAATGTAGTTATTGGTTAACATATCATCCACTAGCTAGGGTGGAGAGAACAATTAAGTCATTTCACGTGCATGTGTAACCCACAAATAATATAATTAATGTGTGTACTACTGTTTTATATGCTGGGTATTGTCATGGATGAAAGCTATTGTCATGATAAATATAAGGGTTAAGGTTTGATTTTGTTTCTATACTTTTTTTTCAGGAAGGCTAGAAATCATGTACTCTTAAGTAGGGCAAATTTTTCCCCGAACTAGTTTTTAAGAGAGTAAAAATCCTCTTATGTCTATTGGTTGTTTCTTTTCCAACTTCGTCAAATAGATCAAGCATTGCCGAACATCCACTGTCATTCTCCACATAATCTCTCAACCATCTATAAGATCAGGTTTGAGATTAGCATAAGTGATTTGCGTTCAATTGCAAGATCAGGTTTGAGATCACCAACGAGAATTGCTTCTTCATCCGAGATTGATATGTGGCTTCTTCAAATCTCTATGGCTTCACAAATCAATCTTCTTTCATCACATATTTATGGCTTCCTCAAAGCTTCGCTGAAGCTTCTTCCTTGTTCTATGGCTTCCATTGATGATCTATGGCTTTTGGTTCTTGGTGTTCACTATGTTTTCATGATGTTGTGATGATGTTTTATATGTTTGCTAGAGGTAAACAAACATTATCTGGTTTCTAAGTTTGTGAGATTGTTCTTAATTTTTTTATCTATAGCCATATTTTAGGCTTGTGAGATTTTTCTTGGATCTTTGGTTGAGATTTGGATCTTGGATGAAACAAGGGTGAAGACACGGTTTGGGGGGGGGGGAGAGAGAGAGAGAGAGAGAGGAGTTTGGTGAAGGGATGGAGCTTGGAGTCTTTTTTGGGGCAAAGAAGCCAAGTCAAAATTTGGTTGGTGCCCACATCTTGCCACATCATTACATAACAAGAAAACAAATGGCTACTTAATGGAAGGGGATTTTTGCTCTCTCAAAAAAATAATTCAGAAAAAAATTTATCCCATCACTTAAGAATACAAGGTATCCAATGCTCTAGCTTAAAAAAAAAAAAATGCAGGGGCAAAATTGAGCCATCACCATTAATTATAATATAAATTAAGCATGCAACACACGGAATGTTGGTGGGGACTTGTTTCTTCTTCTCATTTCTCAAAACTTGTTCTCCCAAAACTTTATTAACAATCTTTCTGGGTTCATCAACTTTTGAAAATATGGTTGAGAGAGAGACGTGCAATAATAATATGGCATAATATGTAAATGTTAATATTATCAAGTATCACATTCATATATGGTAAGTACTTTAAACTACACATTCACAAGTTGTAAACAATTTCCTTTCATATATAAATCATTTTTAACTATTGTTAAAATCGAGAAGAGGTATATAGTTAAATTGTTGATGTTATGTTTTAAAAAAATTCTAGTTTACATTTATTAATTAAAATACATCATCTTTAAACAATATTTTTCCTCTGGTATATAAGTATTTGTTAAAAATTGTAAAATGAAAAATTGAAAGAATGTAATTAATGAACCACCTTTTATACAAATTGATTTATTAAAAAAAGACCATCAATTATTTCTAAAAATGTAACTTATATATGGGACCAAAAGAGTTTGTTTGTAAATATATATATATATATATATATATCTAAGAATTTAGATAAGTTGAATTTTGAAGAATCATGATTTAGTGACATATATATAGCATGTCTAAGATTTAAATAATGTTTTCTGGTCAAAAAAAGATTTAAATAATGTTTATAAAAATATTTATAGATAACTTATCATAAAAGTGTTCTTACGAGGAGCGTGTTCCATTCTTGCCAATTTATCAAATTGACAAAAGCAAGCAAAGTATCAATAATAGATAGAATAGCGTGTGACAATAAATTTGAAACACACTCATTGGAATCCTAATTATATATATATATATATATATATATATAAAACAAAATTTTAAAAGCCTATTTGGTTCTAAATATAGGGTGAAATCGTAGTAGTTACTTTTTTTACAATATTATCCCCCTTAACTTCACCAACTGGTAATTCATAAATGAATTTTATTATAGTTAACAAAATGAAAAAAGTCAAACATTTTTCTAGAAGTTTCAAAAAAGTATGTAGGACTTAAAAGTAGGGTAGGAGGGAGGTGAGGGTGGCAGTGGAGGTTAGAAAAAGAATAAAGAAGAGGTGGTTATGGATAATGATTAGGGGTGAAAATCATCCTATAAATTTGTGAACAACAAAGTCTTGCAGCAAGGTACTCTAATTTTGTTGATGATAGAGAGACGGTATTTTGCTTTTTGCTTGCCTATGAGTCAAGTGAGCTATTAAAGAAGTGAAAAATCCTACTTGCACTCTTCTTCTATGTTTTGCATCCTCCAAAGTTTGCATTAGAGTACCCAATCAAGAACTCACTTCCTCCTTTAGGATACTATAGTCTAATATGTCTATATCTTTGAAATATTTGAAAATTTTTTTCACGACTATCACATGAGATTTCTTAAGAGGTGATTGAAACCTTGCACAAAGGCTAACATTAAAGGAAATGTTAGGACAACTTGCTGTCAAGTATAAGAGAGACCTAATCATCCCTCTATAAGACTTGCAATCACATACACTCTATTCCCATAGCATCTTTGTTCATTTTGATGGTTGAACTCATTGGAGTCTCTATCCTATTTGCTTGATCTATTCTAAACTTCTTGAGCATCTCTCTCAAATACTTGGTTTGACAAATAAAAATTCTATCTTTCCTTTGTTTGATTTGTAGATCCAAGAAGAAATTCAGTTCCTCATCATTGACATTTTAAATTTTCCTTGTATCAACTCAAAAAATTCTTTGCATAGAGAATCATCAATAGCACTAAATATAATGTAATTAACATAAATTTCAACAGTAAGTAGATGACTTTTCTTTATCAACTTTACCTTAATTGAAACCTTTTTCTAAAAGGAAAGAACCTAATCAATCATACCATGCTCGCTTGAATTTGTAGAGTGTCACATTAGGATTCTAAGGATATTCAGAACTAGGTGATTGTTCAACATACACTTTTTCAAGGAAGTACCCATTGATAAATGCACTTTTCATGTCCATTTGGTATAGTTTGATGTCCTTTATAACAACATAGGCTAGAAGTAGACGAATTGCCTCCAATCTTGCAACTGAAGCAAAAGTCTCTTCATAGTCTATTCCTTCTTCTTAATTGTACCCCTTGGCCACCAGTTGAGTTTTGTTTTTGACTATGAATCCTCCTTCATCAAGTTTATTTTTGAAGACCCATTTGGTTCCAATAACAGGATGATCTTTGGGTCTTAGCAGTAAATTCCAAACTTGACTTTTCTCAAATTGATTAAGCTCCTCTTTTATAGCATCTATCCAATAGGAGTTGGATAATGCTTCTTTGACAGTTTTTGGCTCAATTTTTGAGATAAAAGTAGAATGACCATAAGTATCTTGCAACTTGCTTCTTGTACATACTAGATCATTAACATCTTAAACAACTTGTTTAAGTGGATGATTCTTGTTATTCTTTCAAGCTATTGGTTAAGAAGGTTTTTTCTCTACTGGTGAGCTCTCCTCCTTTTCCACTACATCTTGAGATTTGAGTATTTCAAATTTGAAAATTATCCATCATCTCAGTCACCTCATCAACATCAGAAGCTTCCTTCTTCATAGGATTCTCATCAAAGACCACATAGATTGATTCTTTCATGGTCTTAGTTTTGATATTAAAAACTCGATAGGCCTTGCTTTTGTTGGAGTAGCCTAGAAAAATTCTCACATAAGACGGCATCAAATTTACCTAGATTCTCCTTATTGTTGTTGTGGATGTACATCTTGCTTCCAACCACATAGAAATGAGAAATATTTGGCTTCGTTCATTTGTAAAGATCATAAGGAGTCTTGTTAGGCTTTGGTTTGACATTTGCTCCATTCATTATATAGCATGTAGTACTTATAGCATCTACCCAAAATACTTGGGAGACTCCATTTTCATTCAACATCGCTCAAGCCATTTTCGTGAGCATTACGGTTTTCTTTTCTACCATCCTAGTCTATTATGCTGTTCTAGGTGTTGAAAAGTTGTGAGAGATTCCATATTCATTATAGAGCTTCATAAATTCACCATTCTCAAATTCTCCTCCATGATCAGACTTGATAGACCCAATAGAAATACCTTTATCATTTTGGATCTCTTCAGTGAAAGTATTAAACGCATAGAACATTTTATCCTTAGAATTAAGGAATAAGGTTCAAATAAATCTAGAATAATAATCTACAATAACAAAAGTATAAAGTTACCCCCAAAACTTTTTACTCTTGAAGGACACACCAAGTCCATATACAAGAGCTAAAGAGGCTTTTTCAATAGATTAGATTTAAAATATAATTTAGTTTTTTTTCTCAAATTGATATGTGTAACATCCAAAAATATTAATCTAAAAACTAATTGCTAATTAGAGATAAAATGATTGAGTTAAGGCTTAGGGATGCTTATTTCTTCCTAATTGCTATTGTGTGGCAATTGTATTGTAGTGAATTTTGGTAATGTTGAGGCAGGCATTACATCATTTAACAGTGCAACCTTCAAGTTGACTCTAATTTTTCACATACCCTTTTAGGATCTTCATGTAATGTAATGTTCTTTTCAACATTATGAAATTGTACACTCATAATGCACAACTAAACTTAATTAGGAGATTGGAAGCTCTAAAACTAGGTAATCAATTCATTTAAAATTCTAATTTCATACAATTTTTAAAAGATAGGATCCTCAAATATTCATTGGAAAAACATTTAGAATCCTTTAAAACTAAATTTCAATGCTCAATGAAAGTATACAGACTGCATACATAACAATTAGTGAGAAAACAGGTGCAAAATGAAGATTCTTGATGAACTGAGCTAAATGCTATGGCATGTGGTATGGAGCCACAAGATCACATTTTGTACCATGTGTTACCATATACTGTGGCACACGTATTAGATTTTGCAGTTTAATAGTTTAATTGATACAAAACTTTCAACATGCGTCGTTTTCACATATGGTATTTGATTGAGGTGATTCAAGCACCCACGTAAAGCTTATTTCAAAACCTAACTAATGACATTAGTTTCACTTTAATCTGATATTTTATTTAAAAATTAAACACTTAGATGTAAAATTATCATT